CACACACACACACACACACACACACACACACACAGAAATTAAATAATTACATTGAGGTTACAGTGGCAACAAACTTCCCACAGTGTGATAGTAACTTTTTTAATCATGTTGCTCTTTATTGGGACGGCCAAGACTGTTGGTATCAGGAGTGGATAAAAAATGTATCATTTATTGAAATAAATGACTATGCCAATAAATACTGCTTCCAATATCATTTAGGTTATTTCTAGTGATGGTATATTAATAATTGCATAACAACAGGAAAAGGTCATTGGGATTTAGGGCATCAGAAATTAGGTCATTTTATACAACAGAACTTCTGCAGGAACATCGTTACTGTAAGTCTGTTCTTTAATGAGGGTTAGACAACTGGTTTACTAGATTTAATTAAACAAGATTGAATACAAACAAACTCGACACTTTTTAGATTTTTTTTCACAATAAGGTTTCCATCTATGTAACAGATGGTTTGCCTTGGCTTAGCAAACAAAAACACACTGAATGTTGTGATTTTAACTGGACAAAATGTTAAAAAGTTTGGGTTATAAATATTCTTGGCAGGTTCTGCATATTTCTGAATGCTCTCCACCTACCGCATGTTGGGACGTCTGTCCAAACTCCAGCTCTACAAAAGACAGATTTCTTGGTGGCTCCTTCCTTTGTTGTGTATCCATCTTTACACTGATACTCCACTTCTGAGTCTTGAGCAAATACCTCCTGAAAATCCTGATTAATGATGGTGGCATTGGGGCTCCTAGGAGGCTGGCTGCAGGTTGGAGGACTTTCTGTAAAAACGAAAATTAAACACACAAGTTTTTTGAGAAAAACAATCAGAAGTCACAGATTCCATTACAAAATGTATCATCAAAGATGAGAAATCCGACTAAATCTCTGACCACTATTCTATTTACTGCTCAGTCTTAAACTAAAATGCATAAAAGTACTTAAAGAAAATCTTTTCAGTGAATAAATGAAACACTTACTAATACAGACTGGGATATGGAACCATAAGCCATCCAGACATGCGCTTGTTCCCCACCAGCCTCTTCCCTCTGCTTTGTATCCATCAATGCAGGAATAACTGATCTTTGTTCCATGAGGATATGATTCCTGCACCGGGAGAAGAAAACCTGCTTCCAGGCTCGGAGCGCTGCAAGGCTGTGGACCTTGAGCTGATCGACCACAACAGACAAAAGTCAGACACATCTTCAGAAATATCCCATATCAGATGTTCATTACTTACCATGCAGCAGCCCAGGAACCCAAAGCAGAAGAGCAAATTCAAGACACCTCACCTCCATGTTGTCAAGAATCAAATCACCCAGAGAATGAAGAGTCAGGGACCAAGATCAGTTAATTATTACTGAACATTTCTGTGGAACAAGAAGTGAAGAAATAGTCAACCGTATGTCAAAGCATAACTTTCACTGTGGCAAACAAATCAGATCAGCAAAAATCTGTCAGAATGTTTACTGTCCTGATGTGAAGCTGGTTTCCTGGACTGCTGTGATCAGAGGTCAGGATTGAACAAACACCAAACACTGGAGATGAACCGACTTTAGAAAACACCAAACTACTAACAGATACTGATTGACTTTGTATCTTATAATCTGGTAATGAACTTCAATGAATGAATACAGCAGCTGGGAACGGATATTTGCAATAGAAAGTTCCTATAAGACCAGATGGAAGTAAGTGTATTGTGTCATCTTGGTAGGATGCTGGTGAGCAGCGTTACACAGGAGCAGCACAACCAAAGATTACGTTTCTTTTTAGGGCCACTTGTTTTGGATCATTTGGGGGCAAAAGTGTTAAGTGTAAATGTTACTCAGAATACAAATTGTGAAATCGTATTTAATATTTCATGATTCACTAAAGTGTAAAAAAAGTTTTGCTGGGTAAATTTGTCTCCTTTGAATATTTGGGACTCGAGGTCAGACTTTAGTGAACTCTTACCTGTTATATGCATTGATTATGAGTCTATAATTCTGGTGGAGGCTGTGATAAACCTCAAAACTTTGGTTTGACTCAACATGTTAAAGAGGCAACACACACACACACACACACACACACACACACACACACACACACACTCTGGACTTGATTACCAGTAATGGTGTGAATAATTCCAAGGTCTCTGTAAAAATGTCGCCCTGTCTGATCATTTCTCTGTTGTCTTTGAAAGCACAATATCTATCGACTCACTTAGAAAAACAGATGCCATTACAAAATGTTTACAGACAACACAGCTGAAACATTTGACTAAATTTACTCTTCCACCTCGCTTTTATAATTTCCACTCTAAAATTTCAGACATCATTTCTTCCATTTCTCCAGTTAAAGTGAAGAAATCTTTTTGGTGAACTGCTCCGCTGGTAAGACGTGAAAGAAACCTTTTTATTAAAGGGCTGAATGTAGGTGGAATAAAACTCAACTTCACTTTCATTGTGAAATCAACAAAGAGAGAATTTATCACCCAACACTGAAACATGCAGAGGAAACGTTCTTTGTGGAAATGAAAACCAACAATGTTCGTGCCGTGTGCCACAGTGGACAGGCTCACACACCTTCCTGTGACTGTACCACCTAAACTCCAACGAACTAAAAAACATTTGGTTTGGGTGGACAGGCGACTGCACACAGCAGTCATATTTAGAAATCTTAGTCATTGTAACCTTTTTAAACATGTAACGAGGTTTAATTGCTGTGATATTGATCTTATAGAGCCATCGGTGAAAATTGAACCTCTCAAAAAGCAGACCTGGATATTTTTCATATTTATGTTATCCACAAACTGTTCTTGTGAGCAAAAGTAACCAGGAAAATATATACAGTCAGTCCATTAAACCGGGATAAAAGTCAGTGGATTTTCACTTTGTGTTAAATCATCACCTGGAGAAAGTTTGGCGGCTCAGTGGCTCCACTCTGCAGAGAGCCTGATCAGGGTCACAGGATCGGCTGCAGCTTCCATCAACAGCACGAGATTTCACCAACCATAGATGGATAGAGCCGAAAATCATTTCAAACACAATGTGAGGGTGAACAAAACAAAGGATACCCTGAAGTCTTGTTGAAATATTTTATTTTAAGTAAAATCAAGCATTTTATATTTGCTGTCAACCAACAATCAACAGAATTTAAATACAAAAAGAAAAAGTTTCCTTCCAGGTGTTTCTGACAGAAATCTCTCCGTCACTTCATTCTCTGTTGGTGGTGGATGAATCCAAAGCCAGGAAATGTTACAGTCGTTTGGTAAATGTGCAAACATTCTAATAAGAAGACAACAAATAAACTGAATGTAGGAGTGATTAACATTTCAGCAGACAAACTGTCTAAGGATGATGTGATTATTGGAAAGATGTGTCCAAAAATAACACTTACTCGAGCAATGTCGTTACTGTGGCAACCTAGAAATATTCAAACAGAGGTCAGAGGTCATTTATAAATGTTGGATTTTTGATGTGAGAATAATGTAAAAAAAATATAATAATTTGAATTTGATGGATTGTATTTTTTTAATCTCACATGATGAATGCAGAAATAGGTCATTTTTTAATTTTTGTTTCTAAATTAAAAAACAACTGGACAAACAATACACATGTCCTTCTGCTTTATTAAAGCTCCTTTTGGTTTCATGTTATAGTTTTTAAATCAAATTGTCAATTCAACTTCTCCCCTCAAACCAAGTTGAAATTGAATTCAAAAACGAGAGCGATGTTTTACTTTGGTTTTACTATTTAAAGCCCTTTAAAATGAATTATATCCTACGTGTTAAACATGTCAAAGATAACATGTAAGCAAAATAAGTTTAAATATCATGTTACTCACACTCAGTTGCATCTATTATTCCATTAGAGCACCTAGCAAACATCCAGTAGTCCGGCCAATGTCTACAATCAATCTCCTTTGTCTCTCCATCCTTTATGCTGATCTGTGAAGTTTGGCCAACATTGAGTCTACTCAGGTCCAACACACAGGATCGAACTGCAGGAACATTAAAGAAACAAAATAATAAACTGTTTAGAAAAGAACCTTGACACATATGAACAAAATCAGAACTGATGTGTTTATATTGACAGATGGTTAGTTGTGGTCATGAGTCCTAATTACAACAGACTAAACCAAAAAGAGTCAAACAGCATGTTGCTGTTACAATATCCTGACTCACGATTTATTTCGACTATAGTAACCTTTTCCAGGAAGTAGCATAGTGTACAATAAATCAATCTATTAATTGATCATGTACATTTCAGCAACAAGGCAGTTTGAAGTGCTTTACATCATGAAAACCTGAACTCATCATAAACACATCATACAGTCACCAATTGTGAAACCAGAAGCAAATATTACATTTTGTCAAGTTCCATTTTTAAATTCATCAATACGCATCATCTATGTTGGTCAACGTTCCATTTCTTCTGGGTCAAAAGCAGCTCTAAGCAGGCGGGTTTTTAGTCTTGATTTAGAAAAACTCAGCGTTTCAGCTGTTTTTCAGTTTTCTGGAAGTTTGTTCCAGATTTGTGGCGCATTAGCCTGGCCCTTGTCTTCCTGCACTATTCCACTCAATTCAAATCTTGCTTACCATCTTAGAATAGTAGTCTGCCTGTAGTTTTAGCGATGGCAGCGGCGGAAGTGAACTAAGCCGTTTGGTCCATGTTGGCCGTACTTCCAAATGTTGAATTAATGTTAACAGTCGCCTCTTTCAGGTCCATCCTTCTCTTTTCGTGGTGGAGGATGGTTGTTTACAGCACAGGCAATTTCCGGTAAACTTCATAGCACTGAAATGGCGTGTTTCATGTCAGTGCCAAATGATTGGGTGACAGACCTATAGGAAGCAATCGTTTCTCAATAGCCCAGAGCCCAGACTCTCTGCAAAGCTAATAGCTTAGGACAAAGGGTTTGGTTTCCACCAGATTTTTGGTGCATAAAAGCTGAATGCTGCTTCTCCATGTTTGATTCTGGTTCTGGGGATGAAGAGCAGATCAGAACCAACAGCAGATCTTTAATGTGTTGTGGCTACAAAATGTAGTTGTAATAACTACAAACCAGCAGACTCTACATTGTTCCTCTTTAGGTACGATCCAGTCACTTCCATTTCCAGTCATTATGACCACCAGAACTGGGACGAGACCAGACCCAGAAACCTGTATCGATTTTTTATTTATTTATTTTAAATAGTTGATTATTCCCAGTTTTTTATTTCCGTCATCTCTCACATTACGCTCCTTCACATCTTAAGCCATGTTTCAACCAAGTGACCTGAAAAATTTTACTCAGGAATGTACATTTTTGGAACCTTCTATTTTCTGCTGAGCCTCTCCACTGTAGAGTCCACAGCCAGCAGAATATGTTAGTTACAGTGTCTTTGTCCACTTACTGCATGATTGTGCTTCAGTCCAGGTTCCAGTTTGGCAAGTGATAGATCCTCTGTTATTTGCTTGACCTGTAGTGTATCCATCCTCACACTGATACTCTAGCTGATAGTTTTGGCCGTAAGCCTCCTTGGGCTCCTGATTGATGATAACTGCATGGGGGATTTTATCAGGCTCATCACACGCATCACTGCTTCCTGTAAAATAAAAATGCGATCTTGAGGACAAAGACAAAAACTGCTATTGGTTCTTTAACTGAGTAATTATTTACTTGTGTCCCTTTAATGTTTCAGCTCAAACATGTGATGGACTCACTCTCACAAACAGGCGGAGGAGACCATCTTCCATTTGAGCAATGAATTCTGCCGGAGCGGAGTCTCATGTCAAACCCATCTTCACAGGTGATCGTGATCTCGTCCTGGTTTTCATACCAGCCCCTTTGTGCTTCTTTGTACTTCCCATTTTCAATAGCAGGTGGAAGGCAGGCGCTACTATCTGAGAAAAGTAGGAATTAGATCATTTGTTTGAAGATACTAGCCACAGTCTGCATGCTGGGTGACTTAGTATTTTGCTCTGTATTGAGAGGATCTAAGGCTGTCAGTAAGAAGAGTGGATAAAGAAAGTAAATGACTGTCAGAAAGTTCAGCATCCAATTTCATTTAGCTTAATTTACAGAACTATATTTTTCAGTTTTACTCATTAAAAATAAATTTCTAATTAAATGAGTAAAATTCATTAATTTCCATTTGTCATCTAAATCTGGATTTTGGTTCCGTTTAGCTACAACACCTTCCTGGAGGGGGACAGTGGCTGGAGATGATGCACTTGCCCCGTTTAAAGCGCGACCAGAAAATGATTCGCAGACGAGCAGAAAGCGGAGATTCGACGAGTTTTGAGGGCGAGGAGGAAGGTTTGAGAAAGCACGATGAATATTTGGAACAGAGGAGAAGCTTTGAGTACAAGCATTTCAAGTTTAGAAAAGAAAAATATGAAGTCCTGCTTTCTAACTGAAAATGTGAGCACAAATACACTCCTGATCAAATTCTTAAGACCAGTCAAACAATTGCATTGATGGATTGTTTGAAGTCATCAACAAGAATGGTGGAGCTACTCATTGCTGAGTCCTTTTTTTTTTTGACACTTTGATTTCTGTTTTGGGGGGTTTTGAGCTATGGTCTTAAACTTTTGATCAGCTGAAAAAATCATGTTTGAGTGTAAATGTAGTTTTCAGAAAATTCCCTGCTCAAAAGTTCTTGTCTCTTGCACTGATTTTTTCCTTTGACATTGTGAAGCTCTACTTAGAACCTTCTTAAGATCCAATAGTGCAAAATGCAAATTCTTGCAATTTTCTGACTGGTCTTAAGATTTTCAACAGGAGTGTATTAAAAGTGTTGAGAACAAACGACATAAAATCCTGCTTTCAGATGGAAAATGTGTGCTCTCAACTTAGGGCAGAAAATGCCCCCCATAACTCCATCTTGAGCGTCCTGATACGCCCACGTTGGGAGAAAAACAACAACCATGGCAAACGAGAATGAGGATTAAGTTGTTAATGTGCTGGCTCTGGTCGGACAACAACTTTTAACCTGTCATTCACAATAACAGGTCCAGGGGTGTCAAACTCCAGTCCTCAAGGGCCGCTGTCCTGCAGTGTTTAGATGTGCCACAGGTAAAAAACAGTGGAATGAAATGGCTTAATTACCTCCTCCCTGTGTAGATCGGTTCTCCTGAGCCTTGCTAATGACCTAATTATTCTTTTCAGGTGTGGTGCAGCAGAGGCACATCTAAAAGTTGCAGGACAGAGGCCCTTGAGGACTGGAGTTTGACACCCCTGGGTTAACCTGTCACGAGAGGACCCCGCCATTAGCATACAAGAAGAAGTGCAAACATTCTATAGGTGTGTTATTGCGCCCTCTACTGCGCATGCGTGACACTTTCAGGTCGTTTGCCGTTCACACTGGAGAATTGGGTCTCTTCAGGCTGCAGTGTGTGAATGTAGCTTAAGAACATTTGATATATGATATGCGACATGGGTCATTGCAGAGAATATTGCTGTTGAGAACACTGCCTGCAAACATGAATCTTCAGTTCAGTAAAATCCACTTCTCTGCTGGGTTTTACAGTCCAACAAGCCCTGTGGGACATCCAGTACTCACCTATACACTGAGGGGTAGGAGTCCATTTGCCGTTCTGGCACGTGCTTGTTGCCCACCAGCCCTCCACCACGGGCTTAAATCCAGTTTCACAGCTATAAGTCAATGTTTGTCCATGATTGTAGTTTTTTCGCTGTGGGACAAAATAGCCATCAGTGAGTCTGGGGGGACCACAAGCTGTTTGAGCTGAAAGAAAGTCACAGAAAAATCAGTCAGTAAATTGTTCTTTTTTATTAACAAGTGGATAAAAATAAATGGGTAGCGGAGGGAAACGTTCTCACCGTGCAGAAAGCCAGGAAGCCAAGCCAGAAGCACAAATCCCAGAGACCTCACACACATTTTGTCAGGAATAACAAAGTTCCTCTGTGGATTGGGACAAAATCCCAGCTCCGGACAGAAGTAGTTAATAATTATTCAGGGCAGATTTCCAAAGTTAGGAAATCTGGAGTAAACAGTAGTTCTGCCAAAGCAGTGCAAACAATTTTTTTTTACAACAAAAAAAGCACTTGTAATCAATAAAATATTCTTTAAATATTTCTAAATTAGTTATGAAAAACCAAATAAAATATAGCATCTGCTCATCTCCACATTGGGTTAGTTATGCAATCGTAATCTATTCTCTAAAGGCAGGCGGATGATGTTTGGATTCGATCAAAGGGCTCACATTTATTTATTAGGACACCAAATTTCACAATAATTGCATTCAGAGGTCAGGGTTGTTCCCCCACGCAGCCAGGCCACCGTCACACTGTTGGGAAAAACAGTTAAAAAAACAAACAAAACACAATCAATTCCAGGAATAGAGTGATTCATGTTTACTGCATCTTTCTTTGTTCCGTTTTATTTTTTTATTTTTTTTGCCACTGGAAACATTTAGAATACATATCAGATTGGATTCACGTTCACTGATTTGGGATTTGACAGGACAAACACGCAGTAAAGTCAACAGGTTTGCCAGCAGCCTGAATGAAGTTAAACCTTTTAACAGGTTCTGTTTGAATAGAACAAGTAGTTCACCATGTCTCCAGTAGGTGGTGGTGTTGCGTCAGATTTATAAGAGTAATGCTTGGCATGGTCTCAGTTTGGAAGCAGAGTAAAAATACTCTATAGATAGAAGAGTGTTATATGTCATTTAGGGGGAAAAAAATAAACAAAAATATTCAACAGGAATATTTTTTTTTGTTAAAATAGAAAATCATTAATTATTACTACTGCTCCTGCAATAATACAACATATTATGATAGTTATGATTTCATACATTCCATATACTTACTCATTTTGATACATATACAATTTTGGAATTGATAACTTTTAAGAAATTTAATAAAATTTTCAAGTTAAATATTCTTATTGTGAAAATATTTTTAACAAAGTTATGCTGCGGTGCCGACTAGTGAAGAACTGATGGCAAATTATAAGATTGCAGTTATCCCTGTTTCTTGTGCATTTTTTCTACCAAATGTTTTCCTTCCACTCAACTTTTCCTCAATATGCTGGGATACAGCAAACTGTGAACAGCCAGCATGTTTAACCTTTCATGGCTTTAACCTGCTAGAAAACTGGAAAGTCAGCAGTCACCCCACGAAGCTGCAGGTCACATGACCATCACACATATTTCTGTTAATATTCCCTTTAAAACTGGTCTTAAGCATTACTCTTCCTCCCAACAAGTCAAAACAGTCAGCTTACAGACGCTGATGTTGCCCCTCTTATTTATTGATCGGGTTTTGATTGAAGATAACCCTACATGCCTCAACATTCTCTGGGTTGGCCAATATTTACAACAGTGGGCAACGGCTCGCACCACACCTCCTCCTCCTCTCGGGGGCGCCACCTTTCACCTCTCAAGCTGGACATTACATAAGAAGAAAACCATGGTAGGTTTCAGGTTCACAGGTTTGTGAAGCTGTTTCTGAGCCAACAGCTGGCAAAGAGCAGAGATCAGTTGTGTCCACATGACAGAGTATTAAGGCCAAATACTATAAATACCAGGCAGGTCTTTCGGTGTAGTTGTGGGGGGTGGGGCATTTTTCTTATGGCTTACGCAATATAAACCATAAGGAAAATGCTTATACTGTAAGCATTATACTCATATTCATAAAGGAAAAATGTGTATAAACAACATAACTACACAAACATACCAGGACATTATTTTGTGAACATCTTATATCAGCAGATTGAGTCACGCAGGACAGTCGTTCCAAACTGAGGTTGTTCATTAATGATGACTCCAACAAAGTTTGCCGTTTCATGACCTCAAGCGTAGATTCATTCTTTGGAATATTCTTCTAGTCTGAACATTGCAATACTCCTTATACCATTTCCAGGAAACTATTGAAACTGTTGCAATCAGGCGAACGGTGCCACAAAACCACCAGACTCGACTGTTTCACTGGTGTTGCAGAGATGTGATCAAGTCTTTACACTGCAAGTCACAAGACTGTCCACCAAGTCGAGTTGAATCCATTTAGATATGCAATTAAGAATTACAAGCAAGTCATTTGACCGAATTTGTGATGTAAATCAGAGTAATTTGGGGATTTTGAATTGTCTGAACAAGCAGCACAAGAAAGTGAAAAAAAAGAGTCTCTGCTGTTAATTTTACAGTAAATATTCAATAAAATACATTATGATTTATTTCCTGACTCAGTTGGAGTTACTTATTAATTTCCAGACAGATTTTAGTAAGTTCTCATAATCCCCACATCCAACACCAGAAAAATTATAATTTGCTTGAACAGACAAGATGATCGAAAAGAAGGAAAATAGCTTGAAAAATGAATCGAGGTGCAACATCTGATTTGCTTCTGACATTTAAATTAACACAAAGAATGGTAAATTAAAGCTAATTAATGAACTAATAATGTGAGATTAACTATGTTTTTGGTGCTCAAAACTTTGCTGTGCAGTTAGTGAATCAAAGCTAGCAAGACTAGCTTATCGTATCCAAAATTTACTGGTTCTGTTTTGCTGCTTCAGTTAAGATAATGCACCTTACTAAGTTGCATGTAGCGAAATAAAGCAATTTGGTAAAGTGTGTTTTAGCCCAACTATAACACTGGAACATTGTATTTGGACCCAAATTAAGGCATATAAGACTTTTTCTGAATATTATCCACCTGCTTGACTTTAAGGGGAGGAAAGGGAGGTTAAAAGCTGTATTTTACTTTTATACTTG